CATATTCTAAGTGTCTTTCTCGGCCCTATGGTGACTTCCTCATAAAAGATGGTTACTTATTCCATGGTAACCAATTGTGTGTCCCGAAGTGTAGTGTTCGTGAGACCCTCATTGACGAGATCCATGGTGGTGGCCTAGCAGGTCATTATGGTGTCAACAAAACCTACGTGATGATGAAGGAACACTATTTTTGGCCCAAGATGGAACGAGATGTGGAACACTTCGTCAAACGCTGCCATACTTGTCATCTAGCCAAAGGACATTCCTTGCCGCAAGGAAAGCATCTCCCACTGCCCGTCCCTCTTGCCCCTTGGGAAGACATTAGCTTGGACTTCATCACCGGGCTGCCTAAGACGCAACGGGGCAAGGATTCTATCATGGTCGTAGTGGACAGATTCTCAAAGATGGCGCACTTCGTACCTTGTGTCACCACCTATGACGCGTCGCAAGTAGCTGATCTCTACTTCCGAGAGATAGTCAAACTCCATGGCGTTCCCCGAAGCATGGTCTCGGATAGGGATACGAAATTCCTAAGCCACTTTTGGATGACTTTGTGGAGAAAGTTGGGTACTAAATTGAAGTTTAGTACATCAAGCCACCCACAAACCGATGGACAGACCGAGGTCACCAACCGAACCCTTGGAACTCTCCTCCGAGCCCTTATCAAAAGGAACATCAAACAATGGGAGGAGTTACTACCACACGCTGAATTTGCCTACAACAGAACCCCAAACAAGACTACCGGGTTATCCCCCTTTACAGTTGTCTATGGCTCAAACCCTTTAACCCCACTTGAGCTTGATCCTATCATGACAGATACCAGGTACAGTTGGGAAGCTTACAAGAGATCAAAGGAGATACATGACCTTCACAACAAGGTTCGAGAAAAGATTGAAGCCATGAACGAGCAAGTAAGTGCGCGGATCAACAAGAGGAGAAAGAGCACAAACTTCAAACCCGAAGACTTGGTTTGGATACATCTCAGGAAAGAGCGTTTTCCGACAAAACGCAAGTCCAAACTACTACCAAGAGCTGATGGTCCGTTTGAGATTCTAGAGAAGATCAACGAGAATGCTTACAAGATCAACCTTCCAGGAGACTACGGAGTTTCCGCCACCTTCAACGTGAAAGATATCAGTCCGTACTTTGATCCTGAAGAAATTCCGAGTTTGAGGACAAACTCTTCTGAAGAAGGGGAGGATGATATATCCCTGGGTACTACCAATGATCCCACAAAGTCCTTAAACAAATCAATGGAATAATAACTAGGTATTATGATCCTTTTTGGAATGAATTCATCAACAAACCTCAAAACCTAGCCATAATCTTTTTGGACTTCTCCACCCCATAGAGGTTGAAAACCCCCTGCACAAAAAATCAAACCCCAAAAATCCAAACAACCCAACCTCTTACTTTCTTTGGACAACACTACCACACCCTATGAACCCCACATTGTCCCTTCATTGAATTAATAAACTCCTGGCCAAAATTCATTGCCAAATCACAACCAGTTAATTCACTTCATTCCCCCATATGAGGGCTGAAAATACCAGCCAAAAACCCCTCTTATTTCACATAATAGACCTGCCATTGTCCCCCCTTATGTTCCCCACCAAATCTGCACAGCCCTGACCCACCACCAACCTAATCCACCCTCTCTTGTTCCCTGCATAACACTCAGGATATACATCTAAAAGGACAGCCAGGCCATTCCTCTCTTTTTTCCCCACTTGGCTGAAAAGACCTCACCAAAAAACCAATCAAGGTATGGCTTTCACTCACACATGCCTGGCCAGTCACTAAAAACTGAAACTCCAGCCCCACAAACCCATCCCCATCTATGATTTTTCCCTACCAAAAGGACATTAATATATGGTTGTTATTCCTTTAGATTTGTGTGAAGGAGATGCTGGGGTCTTCCCTTGTGTGTGTATTTATATTTCGGCCTTGGGCCTTGCAAATCCATTCAATGTATTCTCCTTTTCTTTAGTAATACACTTATTGTGTTTGCTATTTAAATTCCTAAATCTATATCTTAAGAGTGGTTCTCTAGAGTGTGAGTTTTAGGTTCTAGTTATTTAAATGAGTGTGTAATATCTTATTTGAATGCTAGACTCCAACCCCAAGTAAGGATAAGAGTGTGTAATATCTCTTAAACCAACTTGGTTTATAAAAAAAATACCAAAAGAAACTCCTGCCCTTTTTCTTTCTTCAACTTAGCCCCTCCATTCCCTCCACTATAGACAACTCATTTTCACCCTTCCTTATACAAAATATACTCTAAAACCTATCCTCCCTTTGCTGCCATTTTCTTATCAGGACATCCCTCCTCTAAATACTTCCATTTCTTTACTTAAATCTTCTTCCAAAACCAACCCAAGACACCTATTGTCTCCCTGAATCCATTCAGCCCTGATTCCCCCTCCTTCCACCTTGAGTTGAAGCCTAACAATAGGTTTGATAATAAGCGAGACGCACATTGGGAGTCCGTTGTCGCTGGATGCGACCCAAAAGAGGCATTGAATCTACGTTGGAAAGAATCGGCTGGGCAGCAGAGTGTAGCGGCTGGACTTTGCCAGCAGACGGCTGTTCCGGTTGGACAACAACGGGAGATGGTGAGGCATCTGTGGGCGCAAAAACAACAGGAAGAGGGGAGGATGAGGACTGAAAAATAGTCGTCCCTTGGGCGTTGGAGGAGGGAAGAACGACTGGAGCAAGACCCCCCTTGCTGGAGGCCGGACGTCATCTTCGTCATCTAAATAGTTGAGCTGCAAACTGTCCAGGGAAGTATCTGGAACAGAGGAAATTCCTTACTGAAAGGGAAAAACGATTTCATGAAAAATGACATCACGAGAGGTAATAAATTTCCCAGTATCCCGACAGTAGATACGCCACCCTTTTTTCCCGTAGGGGTAACCCAAAAATACGCCTGGCACACTACGAGTCTCAAATTTATCCCCATGGCGATCTTGATTATGAACGTAGCAGAAGCAACCAAAAGTGCGAATGGAGTTCAACGACGGTGGACAACCAAACATGAGTTCGTACGGGGTCTTTCCCTTCAACACGGTGGAGGGACTCCGATTGATAAGATATGCAGCGGCAAGTATGCACTCCCCCCAAAATTCGATTGGTAGAAAATCTTGAAAACGTAGGGCGCGTGCAACATTTAAAATATGTTGATGCTTATGCTCAACCCTACCATTTTGTTGTGGTGTCCCCCGACACGACGTCTCATGTAAGATACCCTGCTCATGGAAGAAAGAATTTAGACATTCAAACTCAGTGCCATTATCACTTCGGACTATCTTTAGCTTTTTGTTAAATAGACCCAAGTACCACGAGAAAAATCATCATCTATAGTAAAAAATGAGGTAAAACCATCCAAACTTGGTGTCCTGTACGGACCCCATACATCAATGTGAATCACTTGAAATAATTCTGTGGCTTTATTGACACTCGAAGGAAAAGATGCACGACATTGCTTTGCACGCAGGCAAATAGCACAGGGCCCATTCTTCAAAAAACTTGATTTACTATCACTAGCCACATATAAGAAAGATAAAACTTTTGGTGACGGATGTCCAAGTCGTCGATGCCACAGATCAAACTGACACTCCTTCACGCTTGATAATGCACAACCTACAGATGCGTGTTGAAAATAGTACAAGACGTCAGATTGTCTACCCGCACCTATCACCTGCATCGTGGTACGGTCTTGTAACAAACAGAGTGGGCTGTCGAATTTTACCAGACAATTAGTCTCCTTGATCAAATGAGACACGGAGAGTAAATCACAGTTCAAACCAGGAACGAATAAAACATTGTGCAGAACAACAGAATCATTAAGTCTAACACAACCCACAGTTGTAGCCATTACCGTCTTTCCATCCGGCAACTGAATCCAACAACCCGGTATAGAATGAACATCAATCAAACATTGCAAGTCTCCTGTCATATGATTCGTGGCACCGGTATCTATAATCCATCGTTTAGTAATAGGAATACCTGACAATTTCTCGGATGGAGCATCCTTAACAGAAGCGAGAAGAGCCCTAAACGTCTCCCATTGCTCAGCCGAGAGAGAAGGAATCACCACTCCTCCAGTAGAAGACTCACCGGCGCTGCTACTTCCAGATGGCCCTACTGCCGCGGCATGTGCAGCGTGCAGCTGCTGTCCACCAGTGCCCCTGCCAGTAGAGATGCCACGCCCATGACCTCGTCCACCGCTGTTATGACGGCCCCAACCCTCGGGATAGCCATGAAGTTTGTAACAAGTATCTTTGTCATGGCCGGGATTTTTAAAATGTGAACAAGGCCCGGTTTTATCGCGTGGCCTATCCACGGTGGTGAGCCGTGCTGCAAAGGCAGTGTTCTCGGGTCGTTCGCGACCTTAGGTCGTCGCCCGTGCTATTTCTTCTTGTGTTATGATGCGATATACGCGGCCAGTTGTGGGAAACGGTTCTTGCAAGAGTATGGTGGAACGAAGATGACCATACAAAGCTTCGTCAAGGCCCATCATGAATTGATGCACCATCTCTTCATCCTTCTTTTTCTCCAATTGTTGAGCAAGATTACACGTACATTTACTGCACGTGCAAGTAGGAAAAGGATCAACATCATTCAAATCGTCCCAAAGTTTCTTCAAACGACCATAATAAGAAGCGATCGTCAAGCCACATTGATCACACATTGTCAATTCCCGCTTAAGTTGCTGAATGCGTGAGCCATTGACAACGGAAAACTGGGCCTTGATATCATCCCATAGATCTTGTGCCATCTCCATGTGCGAGATCTTTGTACGAAGGGACGACTCAATCGTGTTCTGGATCCAAGAAACAAGAAGGGAGTTTTTGGTCCACCAATCTTCGAGATCGGGGGAGTCGTCGGTAGGCTTCGGGATCGACCCATCCACGAACCCAAATTTCTTCCTAGCATGAAGAGCGGTACGAATCACACGCGTCCACTCTTCGTAGTTCTTGCCTTTGAGAATGACCTGGGTGATAATCAACCCCGGATTATCGTTGGCATGAAGGTCGTAGGGCGAGATCGTACGACGTTGAGGAGCGCCATTTCCGCTGGTGTGTTGAAACAAGGGCGTGTCACATTTTCGTACTAAAGCCGTGTTCGTTTTTGTGACAGGTTTTGATATTGCCAAACCGCCGTGATCAAGACACAAAGTGAATATACAAGGCGAAGAACGAAGATAAGAACAAGAGCTAAACGAAGACCAAGAACGAAGACCATAGTCTTAGTATCGTTGAGTCGGTCTTTATTGTGATCAAGACTGACCCAATCTTTACACCTTGGCTCTTTAGGCTAAAATCTTTTCATTGCATCTCTTACATCATAAAAATGTCTTTCAAACATGTTTAAAACATTAAAAACACTTGGTGTTAGCCCAAACCAAAAACCAAGCCATCCGGCGTTCGGTTTTTAGAAACCGGCTTTCGGCATTGGTTTTTGGCGTCCGAACCAACCAAGTGGTTTTCAACATTTTATGATTGGTTTTTACTATTTGGCATGTTTAAACAGTTCTCCAACAAAAACACCTTGAAAACCACCTTTCGTTTTTGGTCATTTGGCAAAAACCACGTAAAACGGCATAAACTTGGCTAGCCGTGGTTTTTACCCAAATGACGTGGTTTTTAAAGTGTCTCACATTATTTTGGAGAACTTTGGATTTTTCGGTCGGTTTTTGCATCGGTTGGCTAGGCCGTGGTTCAGGCAAAAACCATGGGTTTTTGACTAACCACCCACCCAGCGATGGGAAGAACTACCCATCGATGGGTAAGCGGTCCTCTAGCCCAACCAAGTTCCAGAACCATGCCAAACAGCGATGGGAAGTTCTACCCATCGCTGTTACAGCCTTGGTCCAACATCAACACAAGGCAGAACGACCTTACCTAGCGATGGGGACTTTACCCCATCAATGGCAACCCAGCGATGGGAAGGCTAAACCATCGATGGGAAGGCATGACCGTTGGAAGTCAGTTAAGGTTGATTCTTTCCTTGTTTGGAAGTCAACCTCCCACCCAGCGATGGGAAGCTTGTACCCATCGATGGGTAGGTGACTATTGGCTTCAGTTGAAGGAAATTTGGCCTACCAGCGATGGGTAATGTCCATACATTGCTGGGAAGCCAATATCCTACAGATCCACAATTTATTCAATCCCATAAATCAAGCCAATCACCCCTTTAATGTATTGGTCCGTTGGAGCCTACTTTAGCACTATAAAAAGGGGTGTTTGGGTACGCTTTTCTCATAAATTCACTTCACAATCCTCATACTTTCATTGCATTCAAACAACATTCTTTTCCATAGCTTTTTAGAGCCAATTCATGTGAAGTTTGAGTTGTTTTTGAGCGTATTTAGTTTACTCAATATCTACTCTAAAAGAGAGTCTCGTTCTTGAGTGTATTTGTGTTCTTAGACACGTAGAGAGAAAGTATTTCTCTCGTTTGATTCAAAGGAAGGGCTGTTTCCTTTGAAGGGTTCGTTGAGGTTCGTGTGACTCGAATTCTCAAGTTGTAAGGGTTTGTTAAGCACCGTTAAGCTTAACGAGATAGTAGTCTAGCTCGAGAGAGTCTCTCGGGAGGCTGGATTAGCCACAAGTTGTGGTGAACCAGGGTAAATTCGGCGTGCCTCTTACTCTTCTCCTTACATCTCTTTTAAATTTTTTAATTCCTGCGATTTCTACAATCAAACGCTATTCACCCCCCTCTAGCGTTGGTCTATTCTTCTAACAATTGGTATCAGAGCCTAACTCGCGTCCAAACTTAACCGTTTGAGAGTAAAGCGATCATGGGTTCTTCTTCTAGAAATCTTTATGCAGGAATTGGAGAAGGTCAATCAACCTCTAGGCCACCGCTTTTTGATGGCACCAACTACACATATTGGAAAGAGCGGATGATAATTTATATCCGCTCAACCAACTTCCAGTTGTGGTTGGTCATCAAAAACGGCGAAGAAACACCAATGAAGAAGGTCGGTGAAAAACTCGTCCCAGAGGTTGTACTCCGCGGTTAACCCCGATGATTATCGCAAGATCTCTTGCTGCACCCCCGCCAAAGAAATGTTGGACAAGCTGGAGGTCACATATGAAGGTACGGACCAAGTTCGGGAAGCCAAAATTGACTTCCTAACGCAGGAGTACGAAATGTTTAGGATGAAGGAAGGCCAAAAGATCGATGACATGTTCGATAGGTTCTCAAAGATCATCAACGACCTTCATGCTCTCAAAAAGACTTACGCCAACAAGGATCTCGTGAGGAAAATCCTGCGGAGTCTCACACCCGAATGGAGATCAAAGGCTGACGCAATCTACGAATCCATCGGAGTCTCCAACGTCACCATCGACGGGCTAAGAGGTAACCTCAAAACTTATGAATCTACTATTCTAACCTCGTTTTTGGATGAACAAAAGAAGAAAGGAATAGCGCTCAAAGAAACCAAGGAGACCGTAGAAGAAGTCTCAAGCGATGACGACAACGAGTTCGGACTCGTCATCAAGAAATTCCACAAATTCATGAAGAAGGAATTTGAATGAAAAGGAAAAAAGCACGACGGTCCCCGAAGTGCTATGGCTATGGCGAGATAGGCCACATCAAGCCGAGGTGTCCAAAAGGCAAAAGCGGCAAGGACAAACCTGGCTTCAAAAAGCAACGTGCCTATATCTCATGGGGTGGCGACTCCGGCGACGAGTCAACTGACCAAGAAGAGGAAGAAGCCGCCAACCTCTGTCTCATGGCACATGAAGACCACGCCGTCGAAATACAAGAGGTATGTATCACTTCCTCCGACTCTTACACTTTTGAAGAGATGCAAGAAGCTCTTCGAGAGATTTATGATGAATTTGTTAGCGCTTCTAAAACCAACAAATCATTAAAGAAACGTCTTTCAACTCTTGAAAATGATTTTGAAAAACTGGAAAAAGATAATGAAAAGTTGAAACAAGAAAATAAATTTTATGGCAAAAGAAGCGCTGACAAACCGGAAAGCTCTTCAAGTGAATGTGAATCTTGCAAAGCTTTAAAAGAAAAGGTTGCAAAACTTGAGAGTACGGTTAAGAAGTTTAATTCACCACACAAAGATCTTAATTTACTCCTAGACACTATGCATTTTTCTAAGGAAGGATTAGGTTTTGATAAAAATGAATCTAAGGATAAAAACGTTGAGCAAACACCTAGACAACCTCCTAAGGCTCAACATAAGAAAGTTAAAAATCAGGATAGTAGAAAATCTAGTCAACCTAAGGACACTAGACAACCTAGACAAAAACCTAGGAATGAAAATGTGCATATTAGACAACTTAGGAAAAACTATCAAAATGAATTTGTGCATAAAAATAAGTTTTCAAATAGACAAAATAATGCTAGGACACGTAGAAGAGAGAATTTTCAAAAATCAATATTTTCTCAAAATAGGATGAATATGGTTAGGCCCCCTAGCAACTATTATCAACCTAGGAGGATGCATTACCCAAACGTAGTTTTCCACTATTGCAATAGGGTAGGACATAGAGCTCCCGTTTGCTTTACCAGGCATAGGCATTGGGCACAAAGTGAATCACACTACCACTTTGCACCTAACACTTAAGGACCCAAAAAGACTTGGGTACCTAAATCTTATTAAATCATTTTTGTAGGTGTGCTTGAAGGCGTCAAGTGTACTTTGGTACCTTGATAGCGGATGCTCCAAGCACATTGCCGGAGATGCATCCAAGTTCCTACAAATCAAACCCGCTAAAGGAGGAAACGTAGTCTTTGGAGATAATAGCAAGGGAAAAATTATCGGCGTCGGTTCAGTAGGTAAGTCCGAAGACTCCTCTATAGATAATGTCTTCCTTGTTAAAGGTCTTAAACACAATCTCTTGAGCATAAGTCAATTATGTGACAAGGGAAATCGTGTGACCTTCGATTCAAAATCATGCACGGTAGAACGCCTTAGTGACAATAAGGTCATTCTACGTGGTGATAGAATCGATAACATATATATATGGTTAACTTAGACAAATCTCCTTCCGGCTTTGCTAAGTGCCTCATGAGTAAGGAGGAAGACACTTGGTTATGGCACCGAAGGGTAGCTCATATGAACATCCACCTTTTGAACAAATTGGTTTCACAAGACTTACGGGCTGTTTGGCAACTTCTGAATAGGTAAGTGCTGAACCAGTAAGAGGTCTGAACCATTAAGTGCTGAACCAATAAGAGGTCTGAACCATTAAGAGCTAGTATATTGCTTAACTATTCAGAGGCAAATGTCTGATCAATTCAGATAAGAGGTCTTAACCATTCAGACTCTGTATAATACTTAACCATTCAGAGGCAAATCTCTTAACCATTCAGACATCTGAACCATTAAGAGGCTGAAACAAACAGTCTGAACCATTAAGTGCTGAACCATTCAGACATCTGAACCATTAAGAGGCTGAAACATGTCAAAACTTAAGTTTGAAAAAGACACCATATGTGATGCATGTCAAAAGCGGAAGCAAGTTTGGGCTTCGTTTAAGTCTAAGAACGTTGTTTCAACGTCTAGACCGCTTCAACTTTTGCACATGGATCTCTTTGGTCCTTCTAGAATGAAAAGTTTTGGTGGTAATTACTTTGTGTTTGTGATTGTCGATGACTACTCTTGGTTTACATGGACCTTGTTTCTAACTCAAAAAAGTGAGGCATTTCACGTTTTCAAAAACTTTCTAAAGAAAGTTCAAAATGAAAAAGAAACACCCGTAGTAGCCATAAGAAGCGATCATGGGGGAGAGTTCGAACGAAATCTATTCTCAGATTTATGTGACGAACTCGGCATTGATCATAATTTCTCAGCCCCACGTACACCACAACAAAATGGAGTGGTGGAACGTAAAAATAGATGTCTCGAAGAGATGACTAGAACTATGATCAATGAGGCAAAAATCCCTAAGTATTTTTGGGCGGATGCCGTGAGTACCGCGATGTAGTACCCGAGACCCGGGGTCTTATCGAGTAGCTATTTTGTGGCGGATTTGCGGAAGGAAATGGATGATGGAATTGAAGGGGTGAAATATGGAGTGTGGGAAAGAGTTATTTTTTTGGTATTTTGATTTATGAAGATATAATAGAATGGGGTTTGGGAAGAGAAAATGGTGAGGAATGAAATGGGCAGAAATAAAGTGAAGGGATAAACCAAGTTGGTGTTAAGAGATATGACACACTCTTATCTTAACTTGGGGCTTTTTATCTTCTTTTACACATTAATAATCACTACTAATGTATAAAATTAGACTCCTAACACGCACTCAAAAGTAGCCAACTTTAGAGATATTTCATTAGGAAATTTGGTTAAAATAGCATCACACTATTTTAAAGGAATTACTCAAAAGAGTAAACAAGGTTTTTAATTCAATAATCTGGTCTGTTACAATGGCCTCATGGCTGAAGTATTTATACAACAACAAATAAGGAAAAATACAAGAAAAAGGAAGGAAGAATACAACAAGGAAGTTTCCTACTTCTTTCCTACAAATCAATGCTTAATGCCCATCCATGTGAGTTGATTTTCCATGATGCTTCTCCTGATTTTGAGCTGATCTTCTTTGGGTTTATTTGGG